ATAGTAAGTGAGTTGAGGCTATACAAAGATGCTACTATATTCTTATCATTGCTAAAATAGAGTTTATCAATTTCCAGCATAGAAAAAAATGCATCAATAAAACATTATAAACGAAACATTCCGAATGTGTATGGAAATCGTGATAAGCATCTTGGCAACCCTTGTGCACTAATTTATAGAGGTATATAATAAAAGGCTGGAAAATCAGCAAATTTCTAAACAACTGATATCCCTCTGAGTTATCGTTCGTAACCAGCATGGTGACGAATTGGGGTTTGGCGATTTTGAGCAAAAAGTGCTTAAAGTCAGTAGAACGAATCATTCAATTTTTCCTGGGTAGAATGATCTTCTTCCTAACTAAAGGAAAGGAACTTCCTCAAAGTTGCACGAATTATCCCGAAGGCCTAGCATTCGAATAAGAAAGCTAAGCTCGTATTCTTCTGATCAAAAATGAAGAACATAATTTTGATAGGGGATCAGTAACTGGTAAATGAACGAAACTAGCGATGTTAGCGCAATGGCTAATAGCCATTGCTGAGATTTTAGCAGAACTTCCAAGTAATTGCAATACATAATCTGTGACTGATCAATTGCCGAATGGGCTTTTAATTGGAGAAGGTTTTAAATTGATGTAGCATGACTGTGAACATTATATCTTGAAAATTAAGAAAATCCTCTCAACAAATCTCAGGACTCGCACAGTACTTATGTTTTCAGCTTTTCGTTTTCGCTCGCTAAGCCCGATGCCCTTCGGCGCTTCCGGCGCGGCGAGGATAAGACATTCGTTGTGCGAAGCGATGCTTGCCGGTGAGTTTTTGACTTTTTATATTGCGTCAATCTTCAAGCTAAACCGTTATGCATAGTGTCTATACTAAACCTTACGCTTCTCAATACAACTGATCTTATTTCTACTTTGCAAATATGTTTTAGACCTCGTAAATTACCTTGCTAACTGCTATTGCCTGAGTAACATAAAAGATACACCCTATACTTCCATTTTAACCACACCACTTTTTGAGCGGAGCGAGATTGACTACTATTCATCAACTTGCGACAACTCCTTCACTTTGAATTAGCAAAACTTTTCAAAATTCATTAACTTTACAACTAGTTTTCATACAATCATTTACTACCTATGTCCTACCTGTTTTGCAGCATTTTTTACAAGAAGCCGCCAAAAATTTTTACGCAAACAAACTACCTTGGGAAAAAAGGCTTTTTTTTTCCTGGCAGTGGCTTAAGTTCTTTGAGTTTAAAGATACTGCGTATAGGATGACTCCTTTCAGTGATTTTTTTTGCATGAATTAGCTTCCTTTAGTTGCTTTTTTCAAGATACTGGTGAACAAAAATAATCAAAAGAGAATGTGCTACACTAAAGTAACTTTATAACTTCTAATTTTTCCTCAAGTACAGGGATTTTGTATTGCCAAGCTGTTCAACGGTCGAACCTTTTTATTTACACACTTTCTACTCAAGAGTGAGCACTTCGCACAAAGAAGTGTTCTCAAACCTGCTGATCTATACTTTTCAGCTGTTAACTCTTTTTACTCTATCTACGTAGTGGACTCTTCCAACTTCTAAAAATCTCTATGAAAATAACAGATAGAAACAACTTCGACAAAATTGTTTTCGAAGTTGTTTCTATCTGTTATTTCCAGAGAGATGTTTCTATCTGTTTTCATCTCACACCAGCTTAGATAGTTCTTTCTATCGCTTGCTTGAGTAATTACACCAGAAGTTGTCTTTTTTTGCTAAAAAAAAGTTTTGTCGCTGAAGTAATTTTCTGAGGCTAAATAGCGAGTCTTAAGCAAGGATTGCTGACGCAATCAAGTCTCAACAATTTCTGCTATCCTTTGTCTCTATGATTTCCCCTTCCCCCCAGATTTTGATTACGCATCAATTGTGCTGACTTCGAACTTCATGATACCATATTGCCATATTGTAGAGTTACGGTAGTCGTCCAAATCTCTTTTGGGACAATTCAATGCTTTACACCTACGACAATTGCCTTGAGGAATATACTGCACTCACTGTTCACA